TTATTAGACTGAATGTGCAAAGCAGATCTGGGAGCTGGTCTTATCTTATTAATAAGAGGAATGTGGGCAGACACATCCGCTATAAATCAACCTTGAAGGGATTTGTGAACCTAGGATAAAGGCTTGCCTTAAAGGAGAAGAGAGATATGTCCTAATACGTCTTGAATATGTGCTTAATCCTGCTGTGATTAAAGTCTGTTGTGTGGCGGGAAGGATTAATTTAATTAATCTACAGAGCTCAGAACAGAGGTTCTGCAGTCGCGGGAGCGTCCACTGCACCCCAGTCTGGGCGACAGAGTGAGACTCCAACTCAAAAATAAAATAAAATAAAATAGGCCAGGCTCGGTGACTCAGCCTGTAATCCCAGCACTTTGGGAGGCCGAGGTGAGTGGATTGCCTGAGCCCACGGGTTCGAGACCCACCTGGGCAACTTGGCAAGACCTCATCTCTACAATAAATCAAAAATTAGCTGGGCGTGGTAGCGCTTGCCTGTAGTTCCAGCTACTTGGAAGGCTGAGGCAGAAGGATCACTGAAAAAAAAAATAATAAAATAAAATAAGATAAAATCACTGAAATAATTCCTTTTGTGTGATTTTGCCTTCAAATTGGTTCACAAGTTTGTTACATTTGCTTTGTATTCTTATGATTTTGAATTTAATAATTATACATAATATTTATGTTTTCAAAGTCAAATCTACAAGCAGGGAATACTCAGAGGTCTAGCTTCTATCCTTGTTCTGTCCACCCCATTCTCTTTCTTCCTCCCTATAGGTTACTTTTTTTTTAATGTGCAGTTTATTTTTCCATTGGAAAAATACCACACATATTTTTATTTCCATTTGTCTTAGCTAAATGGGAGCATACTATCTATAGCTCTACCTTTGTGCTAAGTTAAAACATATATATATTTCTGCATGTGTTACATGGCATTTATGGGTGTTAATATTTATTGAAGGTCCTTGTAGCTAGTGGTGGAAATAGATGTATGAGAGTTGGGCAATGAATAAGAATATACTTTAGGTACCTTTCAATACCATGAAAACGACAATTGTTGAGCTATAAACTACTACACTTGGGGTTCCTAGGTTCCATGTCTATCTCTTAATGTTCTTAAGCAAGACTTTTTCTTTCTTAGACCTCAGATTTTCCTGTTCTTGACCCCAGCTGGACTGCTCAGGAAGAAATGGCCCTTTTGGAAGCTGTGATGGACTGTGGCTTTGGTAATTGGTAAGAGCTTGGTAGTGGTGTCCTGGCCTTGTAGGCTTAGAGAAGAAACTACTGATGAAAGGTAGAGGGAGTAGCCTCAGAAAGAGAAACGTGCTTTTCTATTGACCCATGATTTAGGGACAAGTCTTCTTTCCCTCTGTACAGTATTTTCTCTTTTTCTTTTTTGAGTTGGAGTCTCACTCCGTCATTCAGGCTGGAGTGCAGTGTCACACTCATGGCCATCGCAGCCTCGACCTGCAGGGCTCAGGTGATCCTTCTGCCTCAGCCTTCCAGATAGCTAGAACTACAGGCACGTGCTACCATGCCCGGCTGATTTTTTTGATTTATTGTAGAGATGAGATCTCGCCAAGTTGCCCATGCTGGTCTCAAACCCATGAGCTCAGGCTGTCTTCTCACCTCAGCCTCCCAAAGTGCTGGGATTATAGGCGTGAGCCACCATGCCTGACTGTACATTGTTTTTCAGTGCTGAAATGCTTCACAGGGATATGGGATGTTCAGTGGCCCATGACTGAACAACTCTAAAATAGTGGAAAAGTTTAGATTTTTTGTTTGTTGCTCAGTTCTGATTTTGTGAGTTTTTCTTGGCTATTGGTGCCCAAGTCATTTAAGTGAGGTAGACATAAGGTAGATGGTCATAATTTACCTAAAATTAAAGTTTCAGAGACTTCCTCATAGCATTCTCTGAGTTTAAATTTTCAAACACTTGCTTTAGTCCAAGGTTTGCCAAATTGAACTGCACTTATTGCTGTTGCCCTAGGGGATAGCACCACTTAATACCGTCACTTTCATTTTGCCTTTGGGGGCACTTTCACATTGATGATTTTATTTGTGAACTAGTTAGCAGAGGCATTATTTTTATTCTTTGTTATTTTGTCCACAAGGAATCTGAAGTTAGGGAGTTGAAATGATTTATGATTATATACCTTATTAATGAAGAACTCTTAATTAAATACCTCCTGTCCTGACTTGCTAGTGTATATAGTCTTTCCTGGTGTTCATCAGAATTTACTGTGCTGCCTCCTTTATGTCCAGGGCCCTGAAGAAGGAGACCTGAATTTAGTTTACATTTTGCTTGTGTTCATTTATTAGGCATCATAAACTATTGTGTACAATGGAGAATACTAAAGAAGGTAGAAACTTGTCAAGAGCTTGCTAGTTATCTTTGGCCTAGTTTTTTATTTTTGTTTGCTGTCCTTACTCTCTAAAATAGGCTAATCAACCCTGTCCTCCTTCCCTGTTAACAAAAACCACAAAAAAGAGGATAGCCTCTCTGTGGATGAGGCATTAAGCTTGGTGATAAGAGGGCTAGAACTAAGAGTTATGCATTCTGCCCTTAAGAAGCTTATAGTCTAGCAAGGGAATCAAAATATATATACGAATGATTGAAGTACCTAAAGCAGAGCACAGTGATGCCTTGCCAGAAGGACAAATAAAGTGCCGTGGAAGAGAGAGCTTGAAGAGGGGACTTTGAGAGATTTCACCTGTACCTCTCCATCACCTTGGTCTAGGAATCAGGGATCTTTTTTTTTTTTTGAGTTGGAGTCTCACTTTGTCGCCCAGACTGGAGTACAGTGGCATGATCCCAGCCACCACAGCCAGCGATCCTTCCGCCGCAGTCTTGCACGTAGCCAGAACTACAGGCACGCGCTACCACACCTTCGGCTAATTTTTGATTTATTGTAGAGAGAGGTCTCCCCATGTTGCCTGAGTGGGTCCCAGCAGTCTGAGCCACCGAGCCCGGCCTGAATCAGGGATCTTGAGTATAAATTCTGGCTTTGTCACTTAGGAGTTTTGTGTTCTTGAGCAAGTTTATTAATCCCTGTGGGCCTCATTTTTTCTTCTTTGAAGGTGACCAGTAGGCCAGGTGCAGTGGCTCATGCTTATAATCCCAGCACTTTGGGAGGCCAAGGTGAGAGGATTGCCTGAGCCCACGGGTTCGAGACCAACCTGGGCAATATGGCAAGACCTCATCTCTACAATACATTTTTTAAAAAAGTAGCCAGGCAAGGTGGCGCATGCCTGTAGTTCCAACTACTTGGAAGGTTGAGGCAGAAGGATCACCTGAGCCCAGCAGGTTGAGGCTGCGGTGGCTGGGAGCGTGCCACTGCACTCCAGTCTGGGTGACAGAATGAGGCTCCAGCTCAAAAAAAGAAAGTGAGTAGTAGCAATACCCATACCACATGTTTAATAATAGGATTAATTTAAATTGTGCTGTGACTGTTTCTAGCTCAGTGCCTGGCATATCGTAGGAGCTCTAATAAAGAAATATTTGTTTATGTGAAGTACTTGTAAACTATAAAACATGCAAAAATAAAACTATACTTACAGACATTTTGAGCATTCTGAAGTGGCTTCTTTTTATAGCAATCCCTTCCCTAAGGCCTAACTCACAGGGAAATTTATACATTTTTCTAGTCTTCTTTCTTTCTTTTGGTAGAAAGGAGAGGGTTTTTTAGTTATTGTTTCTGTATCTTGGACTAGTGGGAGTTGGAACTTCATATTGCACCAAACTAGGGCCATATTTGTCTCATTGTTCTCCTAGTATCTGGATAATATCAGTTTGGAGGTGTCTGAGTGCAGTCATTATATGAATGTGACATAAAATATGGAAAGAACAAGCAATACTTTTACTAGTATGTATAATGACAGTACCACTTCTCTCTTTTTACCATACTTCTCTAGGCAGGATGTAGCCAATCAAATGTGCACCAAGACCAAGGAGGAGTGTGAGAAGCACTATATGAAGCATTTTATCAATAACCCTCTGTTTGCATCTACCCTGCTGAACCTGAAACAAGCAGAGGAGGCAAAAACTGCCGACACGGCCATTCCATTTCACTGTAAGTGTCTCCCTACTTTGATAGGAGATACTTAGCTCATCTTTGGGTCCTATTTCAGTAGCAAATAAACAGTGGTTTGTTGACTTGAACAGCTAAAGGTCTTATGGAAAAGTGGAGGAGTTTGATGGCAGTTATTGAGAGTTGGGATCATAATGTGGAAAATAGGGACATATTCCTTGGTGTTCCATGCAGGACATCAAGGCACTTGAATCTAATGGGTAGTTCTACCCACTTTGAGTCCCTTGAACATAGCAGTTAACTTTAATGCTTGCTTTTGTAAAATGAGATATCAAAAAGGGTCCAACCTTTCTTTGCTGTTGTGAATATAAGTCTTTTTGCAATCCCTTTAGAGAGTTTATTTTCATACATATGTGTTGCTTAAGATAATCCAGTATTTGACTCATTATTATTAATTGCCCTAGTGTTAAGTAAAAGAAGCAGTTTGTTATTTTTGTCCACTTGGTTGTGGCAATGATGGTGTAATTTTTAATCTCATGTGCCTGTGGAAACAGTGGGTCTTTTAATAAAACATAACCAAAAACATGATGAATTATAAATGGCCATCTTTCCTGAATGACTCCCAGAGTACAAATAATGAGATATGAATGTTTTCTCTTCCTTCTTCCCTTTCCTCATACTCTCTAGAAATAGTTTTATAGCTGACTAACTCAGAAACTTGGAATACCTCCTATTTGGATAGCACTTTTTTTTTTTTTGGTCTTGCTATATTGCCCAGGCTAGTCTTGAACTGAGCACTAGTGATCCTCCTGCCTCAGCATCCCAAAATGCTGGGATTAGCCTGGCAGGGATGGCACTTTGATATTAACACTTTATTCTCAAATCCATTAGACCTTTGTTCCTAACAGCAACCCAGTGAGATAGGCAAAGCAAGTGCTTTTGTTTTACACATGAGGAAACTGAAATCAGAAAGGTTATTTTGTGCAGGGTCATGGGACTACTACATGTTAGAGCTGGGACTTAATTCTAGCTAACTTCCAAATCCAGTGTTTTTCTGTTTATCTGTCTGTCTGTTTGAGTTTTTGACTTGTTTGTTTTTGTTTTTGCTTCTCAAGTAGATGAGTTTTAGCAGTTGAGATTGGTCCTAGGTTCTGCAATTTAAAAAAAAAAAGATCCATGGTTTCCTTTCATTTTAAGAAAGCAAAAATTAGAATTTCCCCATTTTTACATAGAGGATTTCCTCAGTCTTGGTTTCCTTTTTAAAGAAGTCAGTCTGTTTCCATGTACTTTATCATCTTTTTCACTTTTCCCTTTATAATAATTTTTAAAATTTTATTTATTCTCTTAGTTACTTTTTCCAAACAAAAATATTTCAGAGTATAAATAAGGACTATTTTTGTGTCACTTTTTTATGCCAGTATTTTATTAATTAACTCAGAAATGTCTAAATTCTTCCAGCTACTGATGACCCTCCTCGACCTACCTTTGACTCCTTGCTTTCTCGGGACATGGCTGGGTATATGCCAGCTCGAGCAGATTTCATTGAGGTAGGAGAAACATTTTTTATAGCACAAGGTAGGAAGAACTTGTTTTTATTTCTGATGAAGTTTATATCTCTTAACTGTAGATTCGATACCATTAAAAGGAGATTTTCAAAGCACTGTAATTTGTAAGGCCTTTAGGCAGTCACATTTTCTTGCATTTGAGTGCTTTTTTCTCACTTGTAAACATTTTCTTACTTTTTTTATTTGAGTTAGAGTCTCACTCTGTCACCCAGGCTGGAGTGTAGTGGCACGCTCATAGCCACCACAGCCTCGACCTGCGGCTCACGAGATCCTTCTGCCTCACCCTTCCAAGTAGCTGGAACCAAGGCATGCACCACCACACCCAGCTATTTTTTTATATATATATAGTAGAGATATCGTCTCACCAAGTTGCCCAGGCTGGTCTTGAGCCCCTGGGCTCAGACAATCCTCTTAGTTCCATTTCCCCAAAGTGCTACACTTACAGGCATGAACCACTGTGCCCAGCTTCATATGTCAACATTTTCACATGTGGAACAGTAAATTGCTTTAAGAAACCAAGAACCTGTAGTCCTAGCACTTTAGGAGGTGGAGGCGAGAGGACTCCCGAGTCCAGGGATTCGAGACCAGCCTGGGCAACTTGGCAAGACCTCACTTCTACAATAAATCAAAAAATTAGCTGCGTTAGTGCTGGTTTCCCTTCCATAGTAGATATGACATTTCTGCAGTCTGGTTCTCATTGCACACCTAGGGGGTTTCAAGGTTGTACTACATTAGGAGTTGGCACATTTGTTCTATTAAAGGCCAGATAGTAAATATTTTAGGTTTTGCAGGCCATAAAGTTTCTGTTGCAACTAAACTTTGCCATTATTACGCAAAAGCAGCATGAATAATATATAATCAGATGAGTATGCCTGTGCTCCAATAAGATTTTATAAAAACAGGCAGTGGACTAGACAGTAGTTTGCTGGATCTTGTATTATATTCACAGGTAGGTAAAGAATGATGATCGTGGTCCTGTGCAGCATATCAAGTCCCCCATCTCTACAAAAAAATTAAAAAATTAGTTGGACAAGGTGGCACATGCCTGTAGTCCCAGCCCATATGGGAGGCTCAAATGAGAGAATCACGTGAACCTAGGAGCTATGATTGCACCACTGCACTCCAACCTGGGCAATGGAACAAGACCTTGTCTCTCTGTCTTTCTCTCTGTTTCTCTCTCTCTCTCGCTCTCTCTCTCTCTCTTCTCTCTCTCTCTTTCTCTCTCTCTCTCTCTGCCTGCCTCTGCGTGTGTGTGTGTGTATAAAAGAATGATGAACATGTATAAAAACTATATGTCCCTTATTCAGCCATGGAGTTAAAAGTCATGTGACTCTAGTCAAGTCTCTTGATTTAACATCCAATACACAACTACAGTTGTCTTGGAGATAACTTGAAAGTTTAAGAAACTACAAGCATTTTTCTAGCCACATTCAGATCAGCATTTGTTCATGGCAAGTGACATTGTAGAGCTACCCTGTAGACACTATCCCAAAATTATACTTATTGAATAAAATATGAACAAGTTGACCTATTAAACTGTATAAGCAATATTATTGAATGAATAGGCCCCTCAAAAGGTTATAAAAAGTAGATTAATTAATATAATTTTCTTACCTAAATACTTGAAGATCTAATCAAAGTTATATATTCTCAGGAATGAACAAGTTTCCTTTCTTTTTTTTGTTTTTCCCCTTTTTTTCTTTGAGTCGGAATCTCACTGTCACCCAGGCTAGAATGCAGTGGCACACTCATGGCTAGTGAAGCTTCGACCTGCTGGGTCAGGCAGTTCTTCTGCCTCTGCCTCCCAAGTAGCTGGAACTACAGGCACACGCCACCATGTCCAGCTAATTTTTTGATTTATTGTAGAAATGAGGTCTTACCAGGTTGTCCAGGCTGGTCTCGAATCCCTGGACTCAGGAGTCCTCTCGCCTCCACCTCCTGAAGTGCTAGGACTACAGGCATGAGCTACCGCGCCCAGCTCCTTTCTTTCATTTTATTATTACTTTTTTAGAGATGGGTCTTGCCATGTTGCTCAAGCTGGCTTTGAATGCCGTTTCAAGCAGTCTTCCCACTTCAGCCTCCTCAGTAGCTGGGATTACAGGCATGTACCACCATGCCTGGCTCAGACTACTTTTAATTTTTAGAACAATATGTTTGGCTTCATTCCTGAACTCATAACTTATAATTTTTTGTTGACTACAGCCTGAAAGCCTCTCAGATTTTTCCCATGTTTTCATATTACTTATGACAGTGTCCTGGCCTTTGACCCCACTTAGTATTTTCTAACAAGTGTTTGCTTGTTTATTTTCTGTTTGCTTCTAAATCATGGCTACTCTGAAGGCATTAATCAAAGCTGATGGGTTTGGGTGGGGATTTTTTTTTTTCCCTCAAACAGGAATTTGACAATTATGCAGAATGGGACTTGAGAGACATTGATTTTGTTGAAGATGATTCAGACATTTTACATGGTAACATTTTATTTTGTTAAATGTTTATTGAATGCAAACTATGTGATGACACTGTCTTGGGTGCTAAGAACATAGGGATGAATAAAAATGTCTCCTACATCATGGAATTAAAATCTAATGGTTAAGTTGTGAAATTTACCCTGTTACTGGATTTTTACCACAGTGCATCATAAGATTTGTGATGATGGTAAGAATGTAGATCAAGCCGGGTGTGGTGGCTCATGCCTGTAATCCCAGCACTTTGCAAGGCAGAGGCAAGAGGACTGTCTGAGCCCAGGGGTTCAAGACCAACCCAGGCAACTTGGCCAGACGTTGGTTCTACAATAAATCAAAAAATTAGCTGGCACATGCCTATAGTTCCAGCTATTTGGAGGCTGAGGCAGAAGGATTGCCTGAGCCCAGCAGGTTGAGGCTGCAGTGGCTGTGAGCACTCTAGCCTGGGCGACAGAGTGAGACTCCAACTCAAAAAAAAAAAAAAAAAAAAAAAAAAAATATATATATCTCATAGAGTAGTGGTTGGAAGTATCCCGTCCCTTGGATTGTGTAATCTGTCTTTTGACTAAGGTAAATTTGCACTAAGGTAATTGGTTAAGTGGCCCTCACTTACCTCCTTAGAAGGAAGGAAAATGGGGTAAAGTCTTGGGACTTCAGTAGTAACTGTTAATAGTGAATGTTCACTGTAATTCGTTACTCCAGATTTCCCATAGCAAGGAAAATTAATGAAAATTCCTCAAGGATTTTTAAGCTAAAATTGGGAATTTCTTGTTTCTCAGAAGAGCTGAATTTTTAGCACTCCTCCCCCACCCTTTATTTTTAGCACTTTTGAATTCTAATCTTTGATTAGTTCTCTAAAGATTTATGTCAAGTCTTTTGTTGTAACTTAAATGGTGAATGCCACAAGACTGTTAAAGGTAGATGGTTAAACTTTTGCTGAGTCCCTTTTTCCTTCTTCCATTTTCAGTGAACTTTGTACTTAAACTAATCCTCAGTCTTTCTTCATTTCGATTCAGAATTGAAATGATGCAATAGGTCAATAATGCTTTATTGGAGTTTGTTTCTCAAACAGCATCTTCGTTATATCTCTTAAACTTGTCTCCCAGGCAAGAGAGGCAAGTAGGATACTTGAATTATCGATCATGTTTTCATATTGCATTATCTGGTACTTATCACTATAAGGGGAACTTGATTTTTCTCTCCATAGAAGAGCTGCCTGGGTATTTGTTATACTAGATCTGGAATCAAGAGAGTCCTCACAAAAATTTTGTCTTCAGAAATTTTTATCTACACATTTCTTGAGCAGTTTTTTGTTTTGCAAAATTTTAGTCCTCTTCTTTTCTCCCACACAACCTTAAGGAAAGTCAGTGACGCAGATTGAACTAAAAGAGGAAAGCTTGAACACGCAAACTACTTTAGCATTCATTAAATCCATTGTATTTGTTCAGTCTTCCATGTAAATCTCCTCTTTTCAACCCCAGTGACTCATGTTGTCTTTCCTCACCTCTTGTGTTGTTCCCTTGAAGATGGTGTGCAGATTGCCATTCAGTATTTCTCCTTATACACCCCAGCTTTAACTAAAATGGTATTGTTTTTCTGGTTTCATAAATATCATCATTTTAGATACTGTTCAAAAATACCAAATTTTTAAAAGCAAAATCTCTAATGTCAATAATGGCTTGACTGTGTAAGGGACTTGCTGAATCATTTCTCTAGGCCCTAATTCAAGGGCTTCATTCTTACTTTTCAGTGTTATTAAGAAAAATGTAGTCATGGATGATATTTAATTTCACTCTTCATTCTTTGTAGAAACAGGATTTGTAATTCCTTCTGGTGCACTTGTAGTTCTTTCTGTAATTGAGAACAAAAAGGAACAATCAGAAAGAAACAATTGATTAATTAGCAGTTTTTAGTTCAGTTAGCTTGTTAACTATAACATAATTTGGGTATATGTGCTCTCTAAGCAGTTTCTATAACCTTGTAAATTACTGATTTTCATTTGAACTAGAACTAAAGCACCAGTTACTAATCTTTATACATATTTGCTTTTTTTTTTTGCTTTTTTTTTTTTTTGAGTTGGCGTCTCACTCTGTCACCCAGACTGGAGTGCAGTCGCTGCTCCCGGCCACTGCAGCCTCGACCTACTGGGCTCTGCCGATCCTTCTGCCTCAGCCTTCCAAGTAGCTGGAACTACAGATGCGTGCTACCACACCCAGCTAGTTTTTGATTTATTGTAGAGATGAGGTCTCGCCAAGTTGCCCAGATGGGTCTCGAACCTGCGGGCTCAGGCAATCCACTCACCTCAGCCTCCCAAAGGCGCAGGATTACAGGCTGAGCCACCGAACCTGGCTTCATATTTGCTTTTTATTTATTTTATTTTTTGTTTGAGTTGGAGTCTCACTCTGTCACCCAGACTGGAGGGCAGTGGTAGCTTCCAGCCACTGCAGCCTCGACCCGCTGGGCTCCAGCAATCCTTCCGCCTCAGCCTTCCAAGTAGCTGGAACTACAGGCATGCACTACCACGCCTGGCTCATTTTGATTTATTGTAAAGGTGAGGTCTCGCCAAGTTGCCCAGGTGGGTCTCGAACCTGCGGGCTCAGGTAATCCACTCACCTCAGCCTCCCAAGGGTGCGGGATTACAGGCTGAGCCACCGAGCCCAGCTCATATTTGCTTTTAAAAAAATAAAATTTACCCGGGCTCGTTGACTCAGCCTATAATCTCACGCCTTGGGAGGCTGAGGTGAGTGGATTGTCTGAGCCCACGGGTTCGAGACCTGCCTGGGCAACTTGACGAGACCT